AGTAAGTTTCTGCCCTCCAGGAACTCATCATCATCCAGAGAGCAAGTCAGGCACGAACAATTACAGTATAGTATGTGGAGTTCTATATAGCAGACATATGTGCTGATTATTAGAGAACACAAACAAGAGCAATTATAATCTGGAAGTGGCTGGATCAGGAAAACTTACTAGAAAAAGGAGTTCCCAGTCTGAGTTATAAAGACTAAGGAAAAGCAAACTGGCAAAGAAGGAAGAAAGGAGAGCCATTCCAAGTTGAAGAGTGCTGTGGTGCACAGGGGAATGTCATATCAGAAAGCTGTAGATAAAGCTGCAAGTGTGAATGGACCATTAACTGTCTATTGAACCTGCCTAATCTGATTATCAAGACCAGAGGCAAAGTTATTTATTGCACATTGGTCAATGACTCTAGAAACATTTTGTCTGAGACCTGGATTGGTAATTTATTATTTTTTCCATATTTTTATTGGTGCATTATAATTATGTATAATAGTGGGATTCATTGTTACACATTCGTATGTGTACACCATAAAACAATATAATTTGGTTAACATTGTGGCCACTTATTAATCTGCTATATCTAATAAAGAATTTCACCTCCAAAAATTTTAAGGTCAATAAGTTGATTAAAGTGCCTGTTTCAAAGAGTTGTTGCAATAATTATTTGAAATAATGTTTACAAATCTCCTGGTATTTCATAAATGTTTAATAAATTTTAGCAATAGTTTTTATTGCTGTACTGAAAGTTCTTAGTCATTTTTCCCCTTGCAGTTTTCTTTAATCTACTGTTCTGGATTAATTATTTAGTAAGCAATGTTTTAAATACTAACTTAAAAAAATGAAATCATAGAAGCAGAATTGGAATGAATTTTAAAGATATTCTAGCTCAAGTTCATTATTTCATGTGTTAAGAAATTTAGCCAGTGTTAAATAACCTGCTGTGATTTCACCATGAACCAGTGGCACAGGCTGGAACCTGAATCAGGTCTCTTCGATTCCTTAGTTCATTCTATTAATTGTAGAATAAATTGCCAAAAATCTCCCTGAGATACCAACCTTATAGCACTGGCTACAACTTTGAAGGGGGGAAAAAAGGCAGAAATTGTCATTTCTGTAGCCTTTTAATTGCAAGGTACATTTTAAAAGGGAATATCATGTCCTTTTGTGTCTGCCCTCTGATGCTACTAAGCAATTGCTACTAAGTGCTACTAAGCAATTGCACATGTAAAAGACTAACAGAAGGTGCTCAAGAAAAAAAACTGGGTAATTCTTAAATGAATAACTACTTTGCCATCAAGAATTTTTAATGCAGACAAATCTGTTTATTTGCATCTCCTCACTAAAATGTAAAAATAAATTTTCACAATACTTATCAATTAAACATGTTCTATTTCACTATTCAGTAGCATCTAACAAATGATTTGTTGAGTCCCTTCTGTATAACAAATACTAGGTATTTGTTTAAATCCAAGTACTGTGGATAGAGCACCCAACAAGCAACTCATACTTACTTCCTTTATGGGAGAAACAGATACTGAAAGAATAATCCTACAAATAAATTAATAATAATTAGTTAAAATCTGTATAAGAAGTTCAGAATGATTTACAACCATATTAACAGTATTTGGAAAGTCTCACCTGAGAAACTGAAGTTTTAGCTGAGGTTTTATGGAGGTTCAATAAAATAAGTAGGCAGTGATAGGGTGGAGGGGCAGAAAGGGTTTCATACTGAGGAAATAGCAGGAGTATTATCTGCCATGAGAATTGAAAGATAGCCAGAGTATTCAGGGAAGAGAACACTAATATAAACTGCAAAGTCTTGTCATGAGAAAAGAGATGAAGGTGTTTACTAGGCATTATCAAGGAAGCCAGACAGTGGAAGTTGAAGTAAACCTCCTCACAAATTAATGTTCTGTGTCAGAATTTTGCTGTTTTAAAGATTCATTTTTATTTTTTTTTTAAATTTAAATTTTTTTTTTTAGAGAGAGAGAGAGAGAGAGAATTTTTTAATATTTATTTTTTTAGTTTTTGGCGGACACAATATCTTTATTTGTATGTGGTGCTGAGGATCGAACCCAGAGCCGTGTGCATTCCAGGCGAGTGCGCTACCGCTTGAGCCACATCCCCAGCCCCAAAGATTCATTTTAAAAATGAAAATGCAACCACTATAATTTTCTGCTTATTAGATAGAGAAATACTAGGATTTAGGTATTTGTTTAAATTTGTTTTATCACTTTTCTTCCTTTCTATACTGACTCATTGGGAATTGAGGGAATGTTTTGATGTGCTAAATGTTTATATTAGGAACTTTTACTATGGAATAATCACAGAAATGAAAGAGACTCTTTTCCTTAGCTTTGTGGTTGAGGATTTTGTGTGGGTGTGTGAGGTGCAGCTGTGCTGTGGTTTTCTTGGCAGTCAACAGGGCAGATCTCAATGCAGTTAATCTTGAATAGGCAAAAACCTTCAGAGTGAAAAGGCTACTTTGAATGTTTTAAATTCAGTGGAAATCACTAAGGCTTGGACCTTTGGCTGATGTCTTCCTTTATTTGGCTAAATGAATATAGCAGCCTTAGACCCATAGCCAGACTTTATGGCAGGAATACATGAAGAAGAGAACATTAAAAAACAGTCAAAGCTTTATCTCATAATAAAATTATCACTTACCACACAGTTTTTAAATGAGATTTTGTTAGCTAATTTTGATTTACTAAAATTTTTTCTCAAAAGAACACTTAAAGAAAAAGGCAGATTGCAAAAACCTAGCTTTGCGTGCAAATGAAAATTTAAATTTTCAGCAGTTTTTTCAGAAAGCTCTTTTCTCAGTTCTATTTATACACGGATGGATTTCCAGATCGACTTTTATTGCTCACTTGTTTTCTTCACTCTTCTTCATCCTCTTGTGTGGTCTATAAGCAATTTGCTTTCCCAAATCCTCAAACTCAGACACTGTGGAACTCTGCTTTTATCAAGTATATTTGCATTCTTTATTCTGGATAAGCTTTATACTCTACAAGCAAGCAGAAATCTCGGACCAGTAGTTAACTGCTTGTTTACATCTTCACTGACATTTAATGGTATTGCTTTCAGAGTGGTGTAGAGTTAGGTTCCATGGTCATTTTGCCTGAGTTCAAATCCAATCCTGCTGTTTAATGTCTTGGTCTCCTCAGTTTCTCTTCTCTAAAATGAAGATAATCATGTTAGCACCTGTTTAAAAAAAAAGTTTAAAGGAAAGAGTGTGTGTAAGATGGACTTAATGCAAAATAAATGTCCAAAGAAGATGTGATAGGTTTCTTTTTAATCTTGGTTTTTGTCTAGTCTTCTAGAATCTACTAATAGGTATTTTTACCCTTTTGAGTGAGCTCATTCTAAGATCATCTGGTTTCTGCTGATTTCCCATTTATATCTCTTTCCCAAAACTCACTTTTCCTCTAAGCTCTGCACTTGTAATATGTTCACTATTATATTATCTACATTTAAATATCTAATATATACTTAAAGCATAACATGGCTAAAACCAGACCTTTTGATAGCCATCACCTGTTTCTACTCAGTTTTCCAATTGGTATCTCATGGGTTTTTCCCACCTCAGTTAATGGGACCCTCTGTGTTAGTCATCTTTCTATTACTTTAACAAATACCTGAAGATAAATCAGCATGTAAGACAAAAAGTATGTCTCATAGATAATGGGGGTTTAGTTCATGATCAAGTGGACACATTGCTTTTAGGTCTCTGATGGGGCAACACTTATGGTAGGAGTTCATGGTGGAGCAAAAGCATTCACCTCATGACCATAAGGTGAAAAAGAGGAAGAAACCACGATTCCACAGTGACCTAAATATTTCCATTCATTCCCATCTCCTCTGACAACTCCACCACCTCGTAATAGCACCATGGGGTAGGGGGACCAAGATTTTAATACATAGACCTTTGTGGAACATTTTAGATCTAAACTATAGCATACCTGCTGCACTTTTGGCTTTCCTCTAGCCACCAATCTCTGTCCATTGGATCAAACATCATATTTGCATTATACCCATAAGATATCATGAATCTGACCACTTGTCACCAACTTCTCTTTTGCCATCATGATTTAAGGCATTGACCTCTTTTGCCTGGACAATGTGTAAGAAATGGTCTCCTTAGTTCACCCTGTTTCCCATACAGTCCATTCTTTGTATCAAACAGTGCTATTTAAAAACCAGATTATTTTAATCCCCTTTTTCTTACTGAAGTTAGAAATATATCCAGAGTTCTTGATAATCGTCTTTCACAACCTGGTCTCTCTTTGACTTCTGTCTCTCAAACACAGCTGGTTTACTCATATCCAAAGGCTTTCACACTGGCTTTTCCCACTGATTGGGATATTTTTCTCTCAGATCTTCAGAATGTGTCTTCCTGTAACTTTTAGGTCCCAGTTCAGATGTCAACTCCCTGGAGAGGCTTACTCCAACATACTTCCTTTCCTTCTTAGTAACTCATCACTATCTGAAATTTTCTTCTATCTTCTTCCTTCTTGAAAAGTTGCTCCATCTAAACCCCAGAGAAACTTAAGTTGTCTTATTCACTGCCATATGCCCACAGCTTAGATGGAAACCCAGTACTCAGAAGGTTATCACCCTATTGTGTAAATGAATGACTAGGTGAAGAATGAACAAGCATATATCTGGTATGTTTTCAACAACTAGGAAAATGACAGATTATTTCATCCTGTAAAAATTTGGATAGGTGCTTACAGTTGGTTAAGCTAATATTTGTCCTGATTTCTTTTGTGTCTTTTTTCTGTTTTAGATTCGAAGCCTTTAAATATAAGAGGTTTGCATCTCATTGTTTTTAGCTTCTCCTCATAAAGTGCTAGATATCATTTTAATGTTTACTATTGATTAATTTAAATTGAAAATTTAATCTAACATCTTTATTTCCTCTAAAATTATATCATTTGTATATATTTTAATTCTGATGGCGGTTTGTTTGAAACATCTTCCTTGTTTGTCACTTGCAGTTCATAATTGGACCCTTGAGGACACTCTTCAGTGGTTGATAGAATTTGTTGAACTCCCTCAATATGAGAAGAATTTTAGAGACAATAATGTCAAAGGAACTACACTTCCCAGGTGAGTCTTAATTATCTAATTGTGTTTTTCATGGAGAATTATATACTAGATGTCATTTTGCATTACTGAATCTACAAATTGCATTTGTGGCTGAGGGCACAGAGGAAATATTATAATGTATCCATTCTTTAATCTTTTCTAAAATATGCATTTACAAATTATATTCAATTTTTCTTATCTAGATAATGAAGCTCTTAAAAAGTTTATTCCTAAGGAAAGTAATTTTAAGAGAAAATGGATCAACTATATCATTTTAGATAGCACCAAAGGGTCAACCTTTGAGCAGCTACTTGGTAAAGCAAGAAAAAATTTAGTCATTAGATAACAACTCATTTTCATGAAGATACCTATTTGAATGGATTAATGTACAGATTTTTCTTAATTGGTATTCTTTTAATGACAATAACCAGTTAATCATGGTGGTCATAGTCATATCTTAATTTAAAAATGATTTTAGGAAACAAGAAATAGTAACAACCATTTTTAATGTATGTTATGTAGAAGTACTTTATGTTATCTCATTTAAGCCTCATGATTAAAATAAGGTATTATCATCCCCATTTTAGAGACCAAAAAAACCCCAACAAGTGAGAAACAAGTTAAATATTTTACCTAAAGTAATATTTAAATCCAGATAGCTCTGATACTAAAGTCCAGGATATCTATTTATCTCTTAGATATCTGGAACCCGTTGTTAGTTTTCTCAATTGTATATTCTCAATCTCCATTAGCTAACTAATAATCTTTTAAGGTATAAATGTTAAAATTTGCAGTGAGTTTATCAGAATATTACTCTTAGAAGTTTCTTTTTATGTTTTATTTCTTTCTGAATTGTTTTCTTTATTAAAAAAGATTCTAATCAATTATCATAATATAATTATTATATGTAGTGAAATATACCAAGGCCTACATGCCCAATTTAAATCAGCAGCTTTTTGATTCTTTGAGATTAGTATTTTGGATCAAGTTGAAAGGTGTCAGATTTTCTTAAATATATTCTAAACATAAACATCAATGTTTCTGACTTTATTATACATATGCCTAGAATGATGGTGAAATTGTGGGGATAAAAGTCAATTCAACAAATATTGAGTATCTTTGATGTTCATGGTGCAACTAGATGATAGAAAGAAGACAAAAAGTACATAAAATGTAATTTTTGCTTGAATCAAGTTTCTAAGTGAAAAGCAGCTGAAACATTAAAATAACATTAGGGTGTTTTCACTTACATATTTTTACCCTGGTTATGAGGAATTCATAGTATTTTTCTTATGTTGTCTTTTGGAAATTTATTTATTTAACAGTAACATGAAATAAAATAGGCTGATGCAGAGTTTATTAATATAATAACTACTTTATTATTTGGCTAAGTAAAGTTTATCAGAGGTGAGTCAAATTCTGGTGAATTTGTGGAGACAATATCACAAGTGTGTCAAGATCAATGTTTTAAAATAGTAATCATGTTACTTTGAAAAGAACAAATATAGAAGTTTAGATTTCAAGTCAGCCCTTTGAAACATTTTTGTGGGAAAGAAAAGGGAAAGCAGTGATATTCCTGCTCAAGCCTCTTTTATATGGTAATAACATCTACATGAACTTAAAGGTGCAATACAAACTCATCTCAATTACTACCTAAGTTCTAGAACTTTGTGTAGGGCATCTGTAGACATAAGAGCTAGTAATAAGAATGTGTAAGAAAATGTTTTACACATTCCAGATAGTTGTCCTGCAATAATGCATTACAGGTTGAGCCTGACTAATCCAAAAACTGAAATCTAAAATGCTCTGTAATCTTTTGAGCACTGCCATGGGAACAGAAATGGGCAGTACCACTTCTGACCTCATGTGACAGGTTACAGTTAAAATAAAGGTGCACTAATACACACACACACACACATAAATTACCTTTGGTTTTTGTGTATTGGGTATGTTTGAAACAAATGGATTTTGTGTTTAGATTTGGGTCTTTTCCCAAAGATACTTCATTATGTGTATGCAAACATACTAGAATCTGGGAAAATCCAAAATTCAAAACACTTTAGGTCTTAAGCATTTTAGATTCTTTCTGGACATTAAAATCTGCTATAGGTAGTTCAAATTTCATAAGTAGTTTTATGTTAGCCATAATGGTTATCTTAGGCCTTTCACTTTTTTTTTCTGTAGTGAAATTCTTATTGAAACTGGAGTTTCTCTACTTCTGCTGAAGGGTGGGGTCTGCATAAGCCTGAGGGCCTCTGCAGTGGAGAAACACTGTTGTAGTGTTAGCAAATAACCAAGGGAGAGGATGTCTGCCCTCCTTAGCCCCAAGGGTCATAAGGGGCATAACTGGAGAGTGTTGTGTTGCAGCTCTTAATGGTGGGTTATGCCTTCCAGTGTTGTGGCAGCCCCCAGCCACTCACAGCCAGTTTACTTTGGGTTTCTTATTTGGTGAATTCAAACATTGAAATTCATCATCTGGGAAAGAGTGATTGTTAGGATTTATTCACATGGGAAGAAAAGAAACATAGGTCTTACAGTGCTATGGGGGCCCTTCAGGGGTTGCCACTTGAGTGTGCTAGGGCAAGGGTTAATGTAGCACTTGGGTCAGCGCTGTTTATCTGAATTTATGCTAATCAGGGTTTGGAAAAGTACCAACTCTCTTGTGCAATCCCCATTTGTTTCTGCCCCACTTCTCTTTCCCGCCACTTATTGGAAAGCGGGAGGTTGGGATGTTGGCGGATGCTCTGCTGTTGGGGCCTTGGTGCTGTGTGTAGCAGGCGGCCAGGTGGCCCCAGTGTAGTGGCAGGTGGGCAAATCTGGCTCCAGGGCTAGCATGTTGGCCTCTGTGCAACCAAGGTTGTGCTTACCACCTATGTTCTAGCCCACCAGGCTGCTGCTCCAGGACAAGGGCTTGGCTTCATATTGCTAGAGTTTATAGCAGGGCTTTCTTCACCTGGCACAGCCTCCTCATTCCTTTTCAACATCTGTGGTTTTCTCTGACTTCTTCCCCCACTTAGGTTGAATCACTTCCACCTGTGAGCTCATATCGAACGTTTCATAAATTCTGTGATATAGTTACTTTCTACTCTGTCTCATTATCTTTCTTAAATTTAGTTTGTTGATAGTATTGCTATTAATTCATTATTCATTCAGCTGTTATACAAACACTTGTCAAACTTCTGATTTTGCCATATGCCATTCAGGCTTTGGGGACAAAGAGGTGAGACATAGTTTTTGTCTCAAGGAGTTCAGTTGATGTGGTAGTAAAAGTATAGGGGAAACATACAGGAAAGGTATCTGTGGAAAAGATGAAGGAAGGCATTTTGAAAAGGGAAAGTAAGAATACTTTACACTGTAACATTTTATACAAGCATCATAGGAAGGAGTTCCTGTAATTTTCTACACTCAGAGGTTCTGATTCTTCTTAAATAAAATGTAGCAGTTCAGAGACATCTTTGGGCTCATACATATTTGGGTTTGAGTCTCTGCCTTACCTACTAATTATGTAACCTTGGGCAAGTTACATAACCTCCTAAAAATATCTTCATCCATAAAATGGAGATATTATATACATTATAGAGTTTTCTTGAGTATTAAGCCATATTAAGTATTGGCTTATTTTTATCATTACTGTTAATTACATTAATATTATTATTGGACATAGTGTTATAAGCTCTTTATTGGCATCATATTTGGTTGTTAAGAAATCTTAGTTGAGTATTGGGCTGCTTGAATTTTCATTCCCAAAGTGATTTTACTTCCTTACTTCAGCCATGCCTTTAGGCTCTTACCTACATGCTTTCTTCATTGCTAATAATATGGTTCAGAACTGCTTTTTTTTTTTTTTTTTTTACATAAATCCCTCTACCTATCTATCCCAATCAAAAAGAACTTTTACTTTCCGGTTATGACTTTGGTGAACTTGGTTCAATTTTTAAACAGGTTAAACATTAGACTGTATAGATTTTGTTTTAGATAATTTTAAACAAAGAAACATGACCTAAATTGAGGACTGTTTTAAAGTCTACTAGTGATGTTAAGAAAGTTACTTTCAGTGTTATTGTTCTTTGTGGAATGATTAGTAAAAAGCCAGAATTAATAAGTAAAATACTATCAACTTTACAGATTTCTAAATCATAGTTACGGTAGAAAGTAACTGTAGGAAACAACAATTTGTCAATATAGCAACTGAATTATTAATATACAGGAGTCTTTGAGTAGCTGAGTTTGTAATGAAATGGTTTTGAAATGTGATGAAGTATTAAGGTGCATGGATAAGCTTTTAATGGTAGTCATCACTAATGAGTAAAGTATTAAATATGCTGCTCAAATATTTAAATTCATGTACTAGAAAAGTTTCATTTTATATATATGTATTTTTTAAATGAACAGGATAGCAGTTCATGAACCTTCATTTATGATTTCCCAATTGAAAATCAGCGACCGAAGTCATAGACAAAAACTTCAGCTCAAGGCCCTGGATGTGGTTCTGTTTGGACCTCTGACACGTGGGTATTCTTTCTCACTCAGGATGATATAACAGCATAGTCTCATCATCACTGTTATTTAAGGAAGGAGAAAATAAGTAAAGTAGTAGACCACTAAGAATCATCTATTAACTGGGAAACAAATATAATGTTATCTTAAAAAATACTATAGTTTTAGAGGAGGAGATTTCCTGCCATCGAAACATAGAATGTCAGTTTTCAAAGGTGGCTACTAATGTAAAAAATATGATTGGGTGTTAATTTGGAATTTCTAGATTTGAAGTTTTTGATCATTGTATGGGTTTTAATATTGATGTTATTATAGTTGCATATTCACTGAAGAACCTTTTAAAATACTTTAATTTGGCTTCATAACTTACGGCATGAAGTAATAGATTCTAATGATTTCATTAATTATATAAAAAAAGATATTTTAAGATATAGATTGAAAACAAAGTGCCACTTCAACTTTATAAAACAAGAAGACTATCCTGGCTGAAGCATAAGGTGGTAATGTTATTTGCTTGTTTTGAAGAGAAACATTTAAGAAGGTTTTAAATCCTGTTTGTAAAGAAAATAAATCTAGTGTTTTTTCACTTTGAAAGGGGTCCTTTTTTTTTTTCCAGAAGAGAAGTTTACTATATTTATTTCATTAAATTTTAGATTTCAAAGAACTTTGGAAAAAAGTGTTTTGAAGAGTACACCTTTTAGAGGAATTACGTTTTATTTTTAGAAGGCAAAAATGAATAACAAAATTAACACAAGAAAAATCGCCTTTACAAATGATAAGTCAGGAAATTAATGTTTATCCTACTTGAATTTTTGGAGTTAGGAGAGTTTCTTGGTGATGGCCCTCCTAAGAAGGGTTACTATAGTGATTGAACAGGTTTCTTGACTTTCCTGGTGGTTCTTTTCTGGCTTAGGCTCAGAGACCAACTGGCAAAACAGCTGGAGCTCCTATTTGTAAGAGTTGGTAGAAATCACAAACACTAGGAAATAGAACACTGTTGAAATGCCATGTGTTCCACAGATGCAGTCCCCTTACCAATATTTCCCTTGTCCTGAGTTCTCAACTGAATCCCTTGGGGGATTGTGTTCTGTGAGAGTCTGATTTTTTTCAAATGAATGGTGAAAATAGAAATTAAAGTGTAGAATTGTGTCTATATGCAATTTGGTCAGGAATATTTATATTCCCTTTCTTAATCTGGAAGTAAGCTACTTTCTGAGTGAGGGAATACTGCATTATCCAGTTATCTGAAAAGAAATCAAACTGGTCTCAAAGAATGTTGTAAACAAATATTTTAATAAGAAAACCAGTTAGGAAGTTAATGATGCATTACCTTTTAAATGTGTTTGTTTTAGAATTATTATGTAAGTGAGTATCAGAGTCAGAACACTCATGCTAGATTCATAAAAATTTAGCAATGTCAGATGACCAGAAATACATTTGAAAGGAGTTCCCACTTAAATCCTTTCCGATTTGTAGTGGTTATTATAGAGTGTAAGACTTGACCACCTTTTTATTTTTATTCCTGGTGATTATATTTTGGCCAGAGTCAGAGAATAGGACTCTTAGTTGAAATTGAACCTGAACTGAACCTCTGAGGTAGAAGCAGAAATAGAAACAAATCCTTTTGAGTATGTAGCCCTCTGCAGTGCATCATAGATGAGGATGTATGCTCTTGGAATACGGAAATGAAGGATCTCTAGCCTAAAACTTGCTATTTATCACACTGTTGCAAACATATCAAACCCTGGGCTCGTCAACATAGGGACTTGGAATTTCTGTGGAGCTCTTCATTTAACCAAACATGCCAAATGTCGTCCTGCTGGAGGCCTGGACATTTAGGCAGGTTTCTACTATAAACTATATTTCTTTGGAACATTAAAATAATACATTATATTGTGTTAACTGTCATTGTGTATCTCCCTTGCAGAGGGTCCTTGAAAATCAGTGTGTATTAAGCAGTCAGGAATTAATTAAAAAATTACTTGACTAGTGGCTTTTGTATTCTGTGTCACTGAAGACAGTGGCTCTGGCAACTTCCTCTTTATTTTAGACATAGTGCTAGGGTTATGTCATGCCTGGCAGGTCAGGGTTGGAGAACCTGATTCTTCTCTCCAGTAAACCCTGTATCTTGGACAAATAACTACCTAAAATGCAATACTTGACATGGCCCTTTGGCATAGGATTTCTCAGCCTTAGTACTATTCATATTTTGGGTTGGATAATTCTTTATTACTGGCAGAGGGGATATGGGGAGGAAGTTCTCTTGTGCATTGTGTAGGGTGTTCAGCAACACCCCTGTCTCCTACTCACTAGATGGCAAAGATGGCAATCACAATCCCCCAACCCAGTTTTGACAACCAGAAATTGTCAGACATCTTCTTGGGAGCAACATCACCCACTATTGGGGGCCATTCATGAACAGTTACATGGCTATATGCTTGTGGAAAATGCTTTTTGGTGAATCAATGATTGGGTTTCCAGTTTGTGACAGCTGCATAACTTGACTGAAGAAAAGGTGTTGGAATGATAATGGTGACACTTCTTATGAATCCCTTCATCCCACAGGGTCCCATTCTCACAGCACATGATTGGAGATACTGTTGGTCCCCATAACTTTGATGACTGCTTCCTCTACCACCAGCAGGGACATGATGTGTCCCTGTGCATTTGTCTCTGCTCTTCTGTAGGTCTAGTATATCAGATACTGTTAATAAGCACTTAGATTATTCAAAGAAAGAATTTATAAAGTGCTAGAATTTGCATATGGGAAGGAGATCTTCAATTTTGTTTTTTGGTTTTAGTTACATAGTACTTTTTTTTTTTTTAAGTACCTCTGTGTATTGAGGTTCTGTTATACTCAAAGATTAATCTTAATGATCTGTGGTTCTCTTCATAGGACCACCTCATAACTGGATGAAGGACTTCATCCTCATAGTTTCTATAGTTATTGGTGTTGGTGGATGCTGGTTTGCTTATACACAGAATAAGACCTCCAAAGAGCATGTTGCAAAAATGATGAAAGACTTAGAGAGTCTCCAGACTGCAGAGCAGAGTTTAATGGATTTACAGGAGAGGTGAGTTAAAAAAAAAGTCACAACTCTTGTTATCTATGCAGAGAAGTACAGTTTGTAAAAATGTATGAGCATGAATGTAAACATGTTCAGGTTAGTACATGCATCAGGATTATATGCCTATTTTATTTCTTAGTATTAGAAAATATTGTCATAATTATAAAATTTATTATAAATGATACTTGGGAATAAATAGGTTGAAGATCAGTGGTAGTAAATCAAAGATAAATGGAACTATATAGTTAAATTTTATTTTTAACTTGACATATATAATTAAAAATTTTTTAAAAGTCTCTTTGCAGAAGAGTATTTCCCTGCTGTCCCTGCCTTTGAGCTCAAGATAACTAAAATAGCTGAATAGTAGGTTGCCCAGTAGGTTTCTTATCCAAATTAAAGATTAATAGAAAATGCTGTGAATTTATTAAAATATGTATCAAATTGCATGACACAGTATTTTTTTCTTTCATAAAAGTGAAATTTTTGAAATGTTTGTGAGGAATTTTTATTTTTATTATTCTCTAAGGCTTGAAAAAGCACAGGAAGAGAACAGAAATGTTGCTGTAGAAAAGCAAAATCTAGAGCGCAAAATGATGGATGAAATCAATTATGCAAAGGAGGAAGCTTGTCGACTGAGAGAGCTAAGGGAGGGAGCTGAATGTGAATTGAGCAGACGCCAATATGCAGAGCAGGAATTGGAACAGGTACTTATATTTTTTTGTATAGTCCTCTACCTTTACTCCCATTGTATACTGTTCCTCAGTTAATGAAAGAATCATTTATTCATATTGTTACTATTGATCCATGTCCAAATAGTAAAGTAACAGAGTAGCCGCTGAAAGATAAAGTTACCATCATGTTCATTCTTTCATAAAATCTTATTTCATGTTGTGTTAATTGTCTTGAGTGTGTTTAAGGTGTTTGTTAACATCTGTAATATGTCTGGGTTGTCACTTGGTAAAATCTATCCAATTTTGAACTTCTCTATTAGGCATCCCTTTGAGTTGTGTTAAATGGTTTTAAAACATATCTGCTAAAAGTTTCAAAGTCACCTGTAAGACATCCTTCCTGATGTTAGTTTCCCCATTGAGTTACTCAGATTAGAATGCAGTCGTTCAAGCATTTCACAGGGTCCTTTGGACAAGGTTGGATTCTGGGGGAATTTAATTATGTGCGTATGTGTTGGTTTCCTGTTCCTGCTGTAAAAAATTACTATAAACTCACCAGCATAAACAAACATAGATTCATTAGTTCTGGAGGTCAGAGTTTAAAATGGGTCCACAGTGTTGGGATCCTACTGCATGTCACCAGCAAGGGTCTGTTTTCCTGTGTTTTCCATTTCTAGAGCCTGCCTGCAGCAGGAGGCTTGTGGCCCTTCATCTTTGAAGCATGTCACTCTGGTTCTGTTAACTCATCTCCTTGTACATTGAGCCTTTCTCTACTGAAAAAAACCGTGAACAGAATGAGGATTGGGAGACTTTTTCCAGATTTAAAATGGGTCAGTTGTAAAACAGGTACAGGAACCTCAATCTTCTGCCTCCCACTTGGTTATATGCACTCTAGCCTTCCCTTGATCATTAAAGGAGAAATGAGAATTATGTGATAAGTGAGTTTTAATTTTAGTTTATGGGAAAATATGTGCTATGCATTACAATTTCCTTCCAGATTGTTGTTTCAGGAGAATTTGTCTGACTGGTCTCAGGCTCAGTCTTTTCTTACTGTTAACTACACTTCCCCTCACATCCCAGACATCTATTCTTTTGTATCTCTTCCCTGTAGGGAGTTTGTTCTTTTCAATTACCTCTTAGACATATTTTGTAGCCATGCCTGATTTACCTGGCAAATCTAATTTGTATAGACTTCAGTAAAGAATCAGGGAGTTAACAAAAAAAGGCCTAGCCAAAATTATGTTGTGTCCAATAATTAGATATTATGACTTTATACTCTTGTAAGAACTCCTTGCCTATTCCCACTGAGATGTCTAGCTCTTGATTTGTTCCCAGGACTAAAAAGTTTGTTGACTTTTTTCTGACCTTTGCAGATAAGAAAGAACAAATCAGAAAGAACTTGTAGTAGTATTTCACAGGTGACTGCCTCATGGTGGGAGAGAAGACACAATATAAAAAAAGGGGGCCAAACATTATGAGCATTCTAATCTGAGGTTTTGGCATCAGACCTTAGTTGACCTCATGGTTACAACTGTGAATGTAATAATCCTAATTAGGTCCAAAAAAATCAGTGATAGTTTAAAGGGGGAAGTGGGTATTTTAGGAGAAATTCTGTCCAACATGATTATACATATGAAAAACAAATTCTCTGAGTGCTTATTGTTTGCCAGAGTGTATGCTACACACATTGCCAATGGTTTGCTCATAAGTTTTAATCCTTAAAATACATAAATATGTGTAGATGAAGTATGTAGGGAGGTAAATAACTTGGCTTAGGTTACACAGCTATACTTTGTGTTTTCCCACACTGCTCTCAAAAGCTTCATTGATAGAAATTAGTTTTTAACTGGGAAATTAATTTACATATAATGTCACATTATGTACAATTCCATATAATTAGAAGCATTACTGTATTTTTTGGGGTGGGGGTTAATTGACTTCTCAAAAGTAGAAGGCAGAAAAATCTGGTATATATTTTATATAGCATTATTTTCCCCTAAAATAAAGACTTTTGGTTGACTAATAGTACTGTACCATTTATTTATTTATTTATTTATTTATTTATTTATTTATTTATTTATTTATTTATTTTTGCATTACGATTCTTAATACACCATTATACCATAATTTATCATATCAGTACTGTATCATATTTTATTTGATTTTTTTTAAAAAAAAATTCTTTTTTAAGTAGTTGTACACAATATTTTTATTTTGTTTATTTTTATGTGATACTGAGATTGAACCCAGGGTCTCGAATGTGCTAGACAAGCGCTCTACTGCTGAGCCACAACCCCAACACTATTTTATTTGATTTAAACAGTTTTCATATTAGTTATTTTGTTCTTAAAAAAAAATTTGTTCTTAAAAAATATATATATTAGTTGTCAGTGGACCTTTATTTTATATATATATAAATATATTTTTATACATACATAAATAAATCTTATGCATATATTTATAAATCTTGTTTAAATATATGTGATCTTATAAATATATATTTATAGATCATATATATTTATAAATCATATATATAAATCACTTTTCAGTTACATATAAATCACTTATATATAAATCATACATATATATATGAATCTTAAGAAGCTTATAGCCAGGATAAATAATCACACTCACATTCAGTCTTAAGAGGGAAGGAATTTGCCCAAGATTTCAGAGGTAATAAATAATAAAATTGGGCCAAGAAGCCAGGTTCTCAGATATTGAGGCTGTTTCTTTTTGTGGCATATTGTTACTTGTGACTGTTTTATTTCTAACATACAAAAATCATGTGAATAATTATCCTGTTTTTAAACAGTAATTCCTCATGTGCAAAAGCTACTAATAACTCAGTTTCACTTTGTCCATTCCCATAACTAACAAAATAAGTCAAACTAAGGGTTAGGATTTAGGTCATTTGATAAATTTATGAATAATTGCAGAGAAAACAGTTGAATAGTTGCTATTATTGTCAGTTCATAATTTCTACAAGTTTGAGACATTATTTAATCATCAGTGTAAAACATTTTTCATCCTCAGTTCATCCTAAAAATACATAGGTTCTCTGTTAAATGAGTTTCTTTTTTTATTTTTATTTTGTTTATTTTTAAAGGGGAAATTTATGGAAATAACGTTAAATAAAACACGGGTATAAAGAATAACTTCAGAGGAATGTGTCAAGATACTCCATATATTTCCTTAGAAATGAAAATTGTATGGAAATTTTAGCTTTAAAATCTTGTGAGAAAAAGGGCTTGCTTATGTACACTTTGGTGATAGTGCAGAGAACAGCATGTCACAGGACTTGAGCTCAAATTTTCTCTTCCTGAGAGATTAGCAGGGACACCAACCACACAGCTTACCCAACCATCTTATTAAACATATTGTCTCAGGCACATTGCACAGTGAATCATGCCAGGCAAATGCTAACTAGAATTTGCTTTCTGTGAATAAGTCTGTCTTATCCTCACTTTTAATATCTTTTTTTAAAATAATCTATTTAGTGTCACTGTGAAGTTTTCAAAAAAATTTAAAAAATATTTTTTACATAATTCTTTTTTCATCAGTGTCCGACAGCTGTTCTTTTTCTTTATCAGGACTTTGTGTATAGTCCTCCTCTTAGTTTATTCTGGCACACAATGAAGTTTATTTAAATAAACTGGGTTTGTTCAGATCAAACATTTATTCCTCTGCACTTTGGGAGTGGAATCACGGTTACCTTGGTTAGCTTCGGGGTAGATGATCTGTAGTTGTGAGGCACCAGAAGGAGGGCCTTCCTGGTTCACTTGTTGCTTCATCTGAAGGTCTTAAGTTCTGCGTATATAGTTCTATAAATGCTATCATGTCTTCACACATCATTAGTTTGCGCTCTCCCTAGTTTTAAAATAAATCATTGCAAGAATAGATTATCTCTTTCTTCCATGTCATTTTCTCAGCGAAGCTTTCCTTCATCTATTTTCCCTTAACCAGTATTACTACCTTGCACACTAAGCATTGTGTTTTCTTCTGTTTATTATTGCCTGGCTCCCTTAAAGGGAAAGTCGGAGAACTATCACAATATATTTCCCTGAAGGATACTCACAGTTTCTTAAGGAAAATCAATCTTATTCAGATTGTATTTTCTCAGAATTTACACATGATCAATACCTACTTTCAAGTATATTAGCTGCAGTGGGTGGAGTAGAAGTAGTAAAATGGACAGTAGTAGGAAATACACCTGTAGCAGTAAGAAATAAGTGGCCATAAAGAAGATGTTGTGAAAAACTAAAGAAAAAAGTATAACTTTAAAAAAAATTAGAAGCAGTAATAGGTACCCTTCTGATTTTGGAAATTTTGTCATATTCCTACTTTATAAATAAAAATTGTATTATAGGAAAAGTGTGATCAGTTTTAATTTGCTTATGCCCTGGGTTTTTTCTTTCAGTGATCCTGACTGACTACTATAAAATATAAAAACTAAATATTGCAGCATAAGTTAAGCCCTGTCTGGCTTTACAAATTTGCTTAGTGAATGTAAGATACACTTAAAACTTCAGCTTTAGTTTTAATATGAGAAATATATTGTATTTCTACTTGTTGAGTTAAAAAGATGTTTGTAAAGAGCCAAGTTGCTTTCTCGTTTAGTTTTTGTACTAAAAATATTCTAATCCTCCTTTCTCCATGCCTCCCTCCTTCATTCTTCCAGGTTCGAATGGCTCTGAAAAAGGCTGAAAAGGAATTTGAACTGAGAAGCAGCTGGTCTGTTCCAGATGCACTTCAAAAATGGCTTCAATTAACACATGAAGTAGAAGTACAGTACTACAATATTAAAAGACAAAACGCTGAAATGCAGTTAGCTATTGCTAAGGATGAGGTACCTTTATTTCATTATTAACAAAACATGTTTCTTAGGCTGAATTCCAGAAGGTTTAGTCAACTGAATATAAAGATCTGAATGAAAGTTTTATTGTTGGAGATTCTTTTCTTGAATTAGAATTTATTTTGTAAATTGACTCTTCCACTTATAGGCTATAAAGTAAGATTGCTGTATTTAGAGAAGTGTATAGCTTTCACAATGACCTTAGTATCCTTAAAAAATTATCACTATTATCATAATCATAAATGTTTTATACAGAGCTTTTCTCCTCTAGGTTGCTGCTTCATATCTGATTCAGGTTAGTAGATACTAGAAATGAATGTTTGCCACTTAATAAATTGTGTGGATAAGAATCAGTCTTAATGTGAATTCTAGCAAAAAAAAAAATGCTCAGTTTACTTACTAACACCTCCATTGCAATAGGATATAGTTAATGTTTTCTGTTAGTTTTAATAAAAAATTCAGGTCTTTCTCAGCCATAGAAATAAGAAAAAAATTCTCCAGAACACACAGTTTTGAATTATATTGATTGGCTTAGGAAAGCATGCTTTTTCTTGTTTTCTTTTCTTTCTTTCTTTTTTTTTTTTTTTTGAAAACAACTGTATCTTGGCTAATATTCTCCACTAGTGTTATAATTATTAATATATTCTAAACCAACATAAAATTTATTAGTATATGTGTATTCTTTTTTCCCCCAAACATAGTCTTATTTTTCTCCTCTTGGATTTCTAGGCAGAAAAAATAAAAAAGAAGAGAAGCACTGTCTTTGGGACTCTGCATGTTGCACATAGCTCCTCTCTAGATGAGGTAGATCACAAAATTCTGGAAGCAAAGTAAGAATTTTTTTTAAACCTATCTGCTTATTTGCTGTTATTTTGAAATGCATACATTTAAATTTATCATTGAGCCATACACAATTACAAAATTTACACTGAGATTAGTTAATTTCTTCTTGAAATTGCTATGGTCTGTTTGTGTTAACTGCCTTTACAGTGTCCTATTAAAAATTCTTTGCAGCAAGTAATTCTTATATTGATGTTTCAGGAAAGCTCTTTCTGAGTTGACAACTTGTTTACGAGAACGACTCTTTCGCTGGCAACAGATTGAGAAGATCTGTGGCTTTCAGATAGCCCATAACTCTGGACTCCCCAGTCTGACATCCTCCCTATATTCTGATCACAGCTGGGTAGTAATGCCCAGAGTCTCCATTCCACCCTATCCAATTGCTGGAGGAGTTGATGACTTAGATGAGGATACACCTCCAATTGTGTCGCAATTTCCTGGTAAGTAATTAGTTCAACAAAAAGAGTTGGTACATTTTTTTAAAGTAACTTTGTCTACCGTGTCCTTTTAGGAATCATATAATTTGAAACTTCTGACAAAAATTCAGTTCATCCTTCATTTTCTTTTTTTTTGTTGTTACTAATTTAAGTGTTTACTGTTTGAGAATACTATATGACGTACACATATATTCTTTATGTATATTACATTTTATATACATGTACTATTAAAAATATGGATGCTTGATTGATTTGCATAATGGATCAACATATTTATTTGAACAACAGTTTTATATAACTCATTATATTAAATGTTGACTGGGACTTTGCTTTTATTTGTGGTACTGGGGATTTGAAGCCAGCGGTTCTTTACTACTGAGCTACATCCCCAGCTCTTTTTAGTTTTTATTTTGAGATAGGGTCTTGCTGAGTGTTTGAGGTTGGCCTGGAATTTTCGATCCTCGTGCCTCAGCTTCCTGAGATGTTGGAATTACAGGTAGAACAGTGTTCCCAGCTAGGACTTTGTTTTTAAAATATTGCTTATAATTAAATTGAAATGAGGGGGTCATACTAAAAACATAATTGACATAAGGACAGTATAGTATAAATGCTAAATCGATGTCTGAATGAAGTGCTTAATTTTGAGGGGAAACTTTTTTTTTCAAATGACATCTTAATCTAAAATAGAAATATAAATTTTGGGGCTGGGGTTGTAGCTCAGTGGTAGAGTGCTTGCCTCCCATGCATGAGCCACTGGGTTTGATCCTCAGCACCACATAAAAACAAATAAATAAAAATAAAGATATTGTGTCCAACTACAACTAAAAATAAATAAATAAAGAAAGAAATATAAATTTGGGGAAGATCTTGGAAACCTGAGCTTCAATCCTGGCTCTGTAACTAACCAACTATAGATTTTGAGTCAGTCTTTGATTTGTTTTCAGTGGAGTTACCATTTTCAATATTTGTGGTTTTTAGCATTATATTTTGCTTTTAAAGTTCTGTAGAGCTCCTTCCAAAGATAGCTTTTTTTTTTTTTTTTTTGCATGTGAAGTTTTCATTATATTGCTTAGCTGGCTATGCTTTGAAATGGCTTCATTGTAAGAATACATTTCAGTAGGAAAGGTGAAATTTAATTTCACTTTGACTTTTTTACATTATGTTCTGAATGTATAGTTGTGTCTTCACTTCAAAATCCCCATTTTCTTGTTTTTTTGCCTGCCTGATTCATTTTTCCAGTATTTGTGACTTTTTAGAAACAGTGTAGACAGAGCAAGGTTCTGAAGAATAGAGGACAGAATCTGTTGATTGGTTGAAGACTTTTATATGGAAAATTTTAGTTTTTGAAACCAATCAAATTATGATATGAGTATTTTTTAGTTTGAATTTTTCTATCTGACTGTGATAACTTTCCTGAAGTTGGGATTTAGAAGCGGTTCTAATTTTATAAAATTTGCACATTAATTCTCAATAACTATGTGCTTTGTCATTGCTCTGGTTTTATGGCTCACCTATAAAGCTAGAACACTGAGGCAGTTAACACTTAAAGCAAGTAGGAGGAGTGGGCAGATGGTAAGCTCAGTGAACAATAGAAATGTGTGAGCTCATTCATTTCATTTGCTCCATACTGCAAGTTAGTGGTGGTTACAAAGATATATCTAGATCCAAGATAGCTCTACAGTTTGAATTATGTTTGTTTATTTGAATTATATGCCCTTAAGCTTATCAAATAGAGCAACAACTCATAAGTACATTTATTTGTGTACTGTTAACTGTTTAAAGTTGCAAATTTTCCTGAAAATATGTAGTTACTCAGTGTCAGAATTGTGCTTGGAGGTACATTCCCTAAATTAATGAGTTATTTTCTTTTTTCCTTTTCTAAAAAACACTCTTGGGCTGAGATCGTGGCTCAGCAGTAGAGCTCTTGCCTAGCACAAAAATAAAGGCATTGTGTTGTGTCCATCTACCAAAAAAAAAAAAAAAAAAGATATTCTCTCTCTCTCTCTCTCTCTCTCCTTAAACACACACACACACACACACACACACACACACACATATACTCTTTATTGTGTGTGAGTGAGGGGCAAAATAGACATCCGCCCATTAAAAGAAAAAACACTAAATGTGAATAATTGGTCTAAGTTTTTAAATGATTGTGGTAAACAGAAATTTGAAATTTTTTGAATATGAAAATGTACAAGAGTTGGTTTGACTTGTATTATGATATTTTAGAAATGCTGCGATCAAATTCATTATATCTAAGAATTAACTGAAGTTACATCTTACAGTTTGAGAACTCTGCTTCCACCCAGGGGCACTTCAGTGGTACTGCATTCTGCTTAGTTATAAATGCATAATTTTTGGACCTGATAAATGGGAAGCTGTTAACCATAGGAATAGAGTTCGTGGTAGAATGAAGCTGCTTCATTTATATACACCTCCTCAGCAATTTAATTTATTTTTTAACCACAGGGATGTATAAATTTTATGTTTGAAATAATAACATTCTCTTAAGAGCAAAGTAAAAAATTCTAGCACATTAATATTGTCTGTTTAATTATATGTGAAAAGATATCAACAGTTAGCTCTGTGTGAGTAGGAGAATGGAGGATAGTTCTTTTCCTATTTCCTAGTATCTGCTAAATGCTTTCATAGTGGAAATGTAGTAGCAAATTATTTAAAATTTCTTATGAAGCCCTTCACACTTACTTAAAACTAGTGAAAATAATATGCCCATCTGCAACAAAGAGAAACAGATTTTAACATTTTACTAATTCATCTTTCTCTCTAGATGAACCACTACAGATATTGCTAAACCACATCATCTCACTCTTCTAAACTATGTATTATTTTAAAGGTTGCTGTACTTACTTGTATTACTTACATGTATGTCCATAGCAGTATACACCATTGTTGTATGTTTTAAGGATTTACATAAATGTTATCATATTGCACATATCGTTTTTGTAATTTTTTTCTCCAAAGTACATTTCAAATAATTCCCATGTTTATATGTATCAATGTATTCAGTTCACTGTAACTATTTAACTAATGTCAAACTGAGAGGATCTTTGTGCTTTTTTGCCTTTTCAAACAGTACTACAACAAGCATTCTTATTTGTATCTCCTTGCACAGAACTCTCGAGTTTCTCTAAATGGGCACCTACAAACGGATCACTGATTATCTCTTATTAGTCATTGCTGACTTGCTCACATACCCACTGTTTATGAGTGCTTGTGTACCTCTGTCTTCACCCTTACTTGAAATGATTTGATTTACTTGCCTTGCAAATTGAATGAGTGTGAAATGATACCTCGCCACTCCTAAAATGGTTATTTCCTTTGGGGCTGGGGATGTGGCTCAAGCGGTAGTGCGCTCGCCTGGCATGTGTGTGGCCTTAGTTTGATCCTCAGCACCACATACAAACAAAGATGTTGTGTCTGCCGAAAAAACTAAAAAATAAATATTAAAAAAAAATCCCTCTCTCTCTCTCTCTCTCTCTCTCTAAAAAAAATGGTTATTTCCTTAATGTCTGCTAAAGTTGAGTGCCAGTTTATCTTTCAGCATTTGTCATTTGACTTGCTTCTTCTCTAAGTTACTTGTGACTTTCATGGAATCCCTTCAAGATTCCTTGCTGATTTGGAAGTATTCTTTATATTTTCTGGTTATTTGAGGGTTGTAGATATTTTCTCTTAGCTTTTGACTTTTTTAATGACAAACTTGTGAGTCCAGTTTTGTCTTTCTACATTGTTTTCAGAAGATAATAGATTGTAGTTTGCTCTTCCATAACTTTTAGGTTTTCATGTAATCCCTCAATCCTTTAATCTACCTGGAGGTTATTTTGTTTGCAGTGTGAGGTTGGAATCTAGATCTCTGTTGATGTGGGCCTAAATGGTTGTTTCTGTTGACTTCTTTAACGCCTCTTCTCTCTGTAGACACAGGAATGTTTCTAGCTCTAGCCCCAGTGGCTCTACTGTAGTTGTTATAGCTTTATAGTAAGCATTGATAAGGCAGTATCTTCCTGCATTGTTCAGATTCAGAACAATTTATTCCTATTCCTGATCAGTTATTCTTACACATTTTAAGATCAGCTTATGAAATTCCATGAAAAGTTCCACTGGAGATTATTAAGAAGAATTAATACTAATAAACTCTACTAAGTTCTTTCATATCTCTAAATAAAATTAGTAATTTATTTTCTCTGTGCTGGTCTTGCATGTTCTTTTTAAAAAGATTAATTTCTAATAATCTTATTAAAAAGGTTTTTTTTTTGTAGTTACACATATTACTTTTCTTTTAAAAATGATGTCAAATTGCTTGTTGCTGATAAAGAAATGCTGTTGATTTTAATACATTGATCCTGAATCCAGAAACATTCAGTTCCTTCACTAGATTTTTTTTGTGTGGACAACAAGAAGTTACCTTTTCCTTTCCCATCCTTATGCCACATACCTCCTGTCCAAACTTAGATTTCCGTTGTTTAAGAGTGCTGACTACAGGCAATAGTGATCCTGATTTCTTATTTTGAAAAGGATGTTTGCAGTGGAGCACAGTAGTGCACGCCTGTAATCCCAGCTGCTAGGGAGACTGAGGCAGGAGGATCACAAGTTCAAAGCCAGCCTCAGCAAAAAGGTGCTAGGGAACTCAGTGAGACCCTGTCTCTAAATAAAATACAAAATAGGCCTGGGGATGTGGCTTTAGTGTTTTAGTGCTCTGGAGTTCAATTCCTGATACCAAAAAAAAAAAAAAAAAGGATGTTTGTAATATTTCAGGTTGCATGATTTTTTTGGCTGTTTTTCTTAGATTATTTTTGAAATTAAGGAAACTGATTTCTATTCCTATTTTGCTAAGAAATATTCTTTGTCTTTTAAATCAATGGGTGTTAAAATTTAACACTTTTTTTCTGCATAATTTTAGGTTATCACTCTTTTCCTTTATAATGTTGAATGTTCATCCATTTAAATAATTTCCAATAAATGTTAGTGAAAGTATAGTTGTTTCA